CCGCCACCCGCCCCTCCCGCCGGCGGCCAAGCGCGGCGGAGCGAGGGGCCTGGGGTGGCGAGGGACCGGAGAGGGGCGGACATCGGTAAGGTCACTCCAGAGGTTGGATTCGGGGCCTGGATGGGGCGGTGTGGGTGGGTCAAACCCATTTCGGGGTGGGTGTGGGCTGGAGCTCGAACTCCGCCGAAGAAGGGGGCCTGGAAGTTAGGCGACACAAACAGGGAGGTTAGGGATTTGTCAATTCATCGATAGGAACAGGATTAAAGGCCGCCAGCTGGGCAGGACCCTTAAAGGCGAGGACAGACGTGTGTGTCAGGGGCTTCTAGGGTAACAGGAGGTTGGTTAAGAGACTGCACGGAAGTGGGAGGAACTGGACAGGGCCCTGGGAACAAGGATTCAAATTTATTACTGGCAGGGGATGGCACTGGGATAGGCAGAGGCAAATGAATGGGCTCCAAGCTCCAGAGGGGTAGAGGGTGATGGATGCCGGAGGGTAGAGCCAGGTAAGCAGATGGCTCATCTGGGCTTAGACAAAACCTTGAAGACATGGGACTAAGGACAGACCCTTCCCCTGCACAATCACCTGGGTCCATATCCCCAGACTCCCTTGTTCCTTTCAATAAGGATGTTCAGGGCTAGAATCCTTAGCCCAGCACCATACCTCCCCACCCAGGAACTAGTTCTGTCCAGAGTACAGACTGTGTATGAACCAGAAAACTGCCAAGAGGCTGACATTAGGTTGAGGCCTACAGGCCCGTTTACCCTCCCTCCCTGAAAGAAAGTAGCAAAGGAAGGCAACAGAGGCGGCACTGACCCAGACAAATACCACGTTTATTTCACAAACACTGGGAAAATGGGTTAGGGGTGGAGGTGGGACACAGGTGCACAGCTGCACACGGTCATCAGTGACCCACTTCCCACACTGAGGCTCCAGCCAGGCAGTGCTTCCGAGTTGACAAACAAGTGATTGCAGGGAGGGCTCTTGAACACAAGCCCCCTGAAAGGCCAAGGATGACAGCTCCAGCTGTCCCAGGAAAACCACAAATAAATAAGAGTGGGACACAGCCCCACCCATACAGATCATCTAGTCACCCATCTTCACTCTCGAGGTCTGCAAAAGAAGAACAGGAGAAATCAGACAGAGGCAGAGCAATAGATAAAACAGTGACAAATGACAGATCAGGCCTAGCAAACCCATGGCAGGATGGACAGACCACAACAGATGGATGACTAGACCAGGATGGGCATGCTGTGACAAACACAGATGAACAAGGACATTCAGACAACCACAGAGTTAGGCGTGGGACAGAGAGATGGAGAGAAGTGGCATATGGACAGGACCAGTCACCAAGAGTCAACCCAGCTAAGCACTCAGTCACATTCAGACCATCAGGCTGATCCTTAGCCACGCTTACACATTGTCAAAGACAAGATGCACAGAATTCAGACATGCTGTCCTACTGACATCATACATACACACAAGCCCTGAGAAACATAGTCAAACACACCAAGACAGACTGACACACAGCCAAGATCCCAACCCAGTCTAGACTACAAATAAACAGACAAAAAAATAACAGAACAGAAAGACTCAGTGAAAGACAAAGACACAAAGCAGCAGGGAAATAAACATTACAGTTATCAATGATACCAGATTAGAAAGCTTCAAACAGAGAAACCAAAAAATGGGAAAGAAATGGGGGGAGCTATTCAGGGGTTCTATGGTTATAGAGGGAAAGGGAGCACCGTGGCTCCTCTGGAAGGAGAATGAGTCTGGATTGGGGACAAGGACACAGGTTCCCCCAGGGGATTCATCACCTGAAGGATTGCAACAATGACCCCAAAGAGGCCAATGGCACTGCCAAAGATCTCCACGATGAGAATCTTTACAAAGAGGCTGGGGTTCTGTGCATCAGCCAGGGCAGCTCCACTGCCCACGATGCCCACGCAGACTCCACAGAAGAGATTAGACAGGCCCACTGTGAGGCCTGCCCCAAACATGGAGTAGCCTGGGGGGATGGAAAGAGAGTATTGAGGCCAAGCCAGGCACAAGGGGAGAGGAAGACAAGGGCCCAAGATGGACTAATGGGGCCAGTCACCACCCCCAACTCGGCAAAGCAGGCCAAACAAAGTGACAGACTATCGAAATAAGTCTAAGCTGGGCCATGGAAGGGGGGGAAACAGACATGAAGCCCCAGCTTGTTTTCCTTCACACATCCACCTACCTGCATGGTAGTTTCGATGTCCAATGGCCTGGGGGTCAGTGGCACTGAAAGGCTGTGGGAGACAGAAAAGTAATCCGAAACCACTCCTTATGCCACTCCCCCTCCGTCAATATCACTAAGCATTGTACCCAACACACTGGAATAGATGCCCACCCTACCCTGGTTCTCCATACCTCAGCCATGTTGCTAATCACAATTGCCATGATGATGCCATAGATGGCCACAGCCTCACAGAAGATGATGCTGGTAGTGGTAGTGGTGGGCATGGGGATGGAGAGGAGAAAGATAAGGAAGAAACCAACCTTTGTCCCCAGAGAGTCCCCAGCCACCATTTCCCCCACTGATACCCCACCCCATTGGGGGCTGGTCAGGAGCAGCATGTCAGGTCAAACAAATATGCAGCTCACAATGCAGCTGGTTCTGACAACCATCCAAAGGCCCTACACTTACCTGACCAGGTTCTTGGTCTTGATCCTGGGGGCCTTCACCCCTCCCCCAATGATAGAAGAGCCAGTAATATAGATGCCCCTGGTAGAAGGATAAGAAACTGATGAGCAGAGCCCAAGCTTGTCACTGACCCCAGGATGACTAAGGACCCAATGACCACCTGCTATGACTCAGCCCCTCCCCCCAGTCCCACCACCCCAACACTCACCATGCTGCCCCAACCACAGACAGGGAGATAGCCAGACCAATGCCCAAGTTTGACCACATGAAGGGGGAAGTCTCAGTCAGGAACCTGGTGTGGAAACAGGGAGGAAAGCAATTTCAGCCCCAGGGAAGAAGTGGGCACGAAATCCAGCCCCCAACCCCCCAAACCCCCCGGTCCTAGATGTTGGGACAAAACATTTCATATCTCCCAAAGGTCCATATCGCAGGTAGCTGGGGATGGGGTGGAGTAGAGGCCTTAGGTCAGAGACGAAAGGCTGCAGAAAAGCTCCTAGGGGAATCCTCTCCCTGCCCTCCCTTACCATGCCACATCAAAGCGGAAACCCAAGTCAAAAATGGTGTAGCAGATTCCTGCAGCAGTGAGAGAAAAAAAAAAGGGGGGGGGGTTAGAGACGGCTCTCCAAAGAGAAGCTTCTCAACTTAGACAAGAAATTGCTGCCCGGCTGATGTGCCATCTCCTCGAAGGTCTGCCTACACCTAGGTCAAGGGAGAGTCCTCAAGCTGGCTTTCGTGTCAAAGCGCGGCTATCTATTCAAATCCCTCTGCTCAGGCCTCCATTTTCTGCCACTCCCTCAGTACCATATGCCCCCGCCCGGTGACTCCTCCTCCCAGACCAAGTCCCTCCACCGGCAGCTACTGGCAGACCTGGACACTCTGGAGAAAAGAAGGGAGCAGAAGCTCTGGCCGAGAACACCAGATTCCACCAGCCCAGTCTGAGCCGCTGTTTACCCAACAAGCTGTGGGTGGGGGAGGGCAAAACGACCGGGAAAAGAGGAACTGGAACAGTCGGCTCGTGACCCAAGCAGGCCCATCAGGAGCAAGCGAGGGGCGGCAGCAGTGAGACGGGGGGAGGAGGTGGTAGTGACCGAGAGGGACCGGGGCTGCTCTCGCGGCCCCGACCTCCCACCGCCCGCGCCCCTCATCTGGTTCTCCTCTGTCAGGGTCAGAAGCCCCAACAGGCATGAGGCAAGTCCTCGAGCCTCAGGCACAGGGCCAGCATAGGGGCCCAGCATTCACGGGACTCCACTTCTCCCTCTGGGCTCTAACCCCACCAGCTCGGACTGGATGTCGGCCCCGCCCGCCAGGGCCCGGCCTCACCCACGACGAGCATGCAGGCCCAAAAGGCCACGAAGACCCCGGAGTAGAGCAGCGCTAGCCCCGTCATGGCGGCAACGACGGCGGGGCTCGGGTCCGTGGGGCCACAACTAAACCCGCGTCCCTGCGTCCACCGTCCGCCCCGCAGTCTGTCCGCCCGCCCCGCAGCGTCACCTGACTTATCCACGTGACGCGCCCGCACCACGTGACCCCGCGCCGCGTCGCCCCCAGTCTAGAACTTGGCGACGCCGGAACTGCAAGCGCTGAGGATTGTGGTTGTTGTAGTCTTGCGCTTCGGAAGAGGCTCTAGCGTCATTAGTACCCTCGACCTCTAGGTGGTCCCTGTCGCGTCTCTCCAAATCTGCGCCTCCTCAGCCCTGACATTCAGTCCCAGATCGGCCCACCAGCCCTCCAATACACCGGAGCCTGCTCTTGAGCCTCTCTAGCTTATCCTCCAAGCCATTGCTTGGATCCCCTGGGCCCCCTCCATTGTCGTCCTACCCAGTTCCGTGAGAGTGTCATGCTTTCTCACCTTGCTCATGCTTTCTTCTGCCTGGAGTACTCTTCTTCGTGCTCATCCCGTTGCCCAGCTAACACCTACTGGTCCCCGGAAAGCCCTGTCAGGAAGCCTTCCCTAACCCAGAGGCAGGGTGATAACCTGCTCTGGGCTTCCCGGTTGCCCTGGTGATCCTTCAGATCATGTCACTCAGTTCATGTCATGAAACTTCAGATCATGTCACTCTTTGGTTTAAAATGCCATTTCACTTGGAATAAAAGCCACAGTCCTTATAATGGCCCACTAGGCCTCTCCCAGTGCGGCTTCCCATGCCCCTTACCTGACTTCATCTAATATTCTTCCACTAACTGCACTGGCCTCCTTGCTTTTCCTTGGACATACCAGCCATACCCCCAGTACACCACCCTTGCACTTGTTGTCTCTGTTCTACTTATCCACGTGGCCCACTCCATAACTTCCTTTTGGTGTTTGTCACATTCTTCAAAAGGCCTTCCCTAACTATCTTGTTGAATATTGCAACCCACTCTTCCTTACACTCCTTCCCAGCTTTATAGTTCCCCATAGTACTTATCACCATCTGGCATGCCAATTACTTTATTTTGTTCATCTCTTCCCTCCCCCCCCCCCCCCCGCCCCATGAGAATGTAAGCAGTATGAAAGGGTTTTTGAGCTTACTGCTGTATTCCCAGTGCCTAGCACACTCCATAATTATTTGTAGAATACACGATTGGTACCCACCTTGTCTATTGCCATGGTCCTTTTACAGATCTGCCTCTACCAGTAGACCAGGCACTCCCTGAGAGCAAGGACCTCATCTCCCTGTTCACCTGCTTCTTTAACTAACTTTGGACAATGCCAGCATGCCACGCTTCTCTGCAAATGTGGGGAATGAAGAAGTGCCCACAGGGGCTTCCCTCCTTATAGACGGTACTGTTTCACTGTGTGGCAATTGCTTACTTAACTGCCTATCTTCCCAATTCCACTATGAGGACAGGAATCCAGTCAAATACAATTCAGACCTTCAGGACCTGTAGTGTTTGACGAATAAAAATAAACAGGAGAAAAAGTATCTAGTTTATTCAAGTTTCTGTGATTTCCCGGAGAAACAATTTAGTCATTGTAGACCAGCACTGTCCAAAAGAACTTCCTGCAATAATGGAAATGTCCTGTAGCTGCACTGTCCTCTCATGTGACTAAATAAGCACTGAAATGTACTTGTTTTTATATAATATTCTATTTTTTTAATGTTTATTCATTTTTGACAGAGACACAGCACAAATAGGGGAGAGGCAGAGAGAGATGGAGACACAAAATGTGCAGCCTTCAGGCTCTGAGCTGTCAGCACAGAGCCTGACATGGGGCTCAAACCCACAAGCCGTGAGATCACGACCTAAGCCAAAGTCAGACACCTAGCCGACTGAGCCACCCAGGTGCCCCTATATAATGTTTTATAATATGCTTGTTATAAATAAATAAAAACTGCATTTTTATTTATTTTACTTACTTTTATTTTTATTTTTTTAATTTGTTTTTTTTTAAGGTTTATTTATTTTTGAGAGAGAGAGAGAGGGAGTCAGAGCATGAGTCAGGGAGGGGCAGACACAGACACACAGAATCTGAAATAGGCTCCAGGCTCTGAGCTGTCAGCACAGAGCCCCATGTGGGGCTCGAACCCATGAACTGTGAGATCATGACTTGAGCTGAAGCAGGATGCTTAACTGACTAAGCCACCCCGGTGCCCCTATTTATTTTACTTAGCTTTAAAGTTTATTTTTAGTAATCTCTACATTCAACACAAGGCTCGAACTCACAACCCTGAGAGATCAAGAGTCTCATGCTCTTCTGACTGAGCCAGCCAGGCACCTTAAGAAACTGAGTTTTTAATTTTAACTAGTTTAAGTTCATGTTTAAATAGCCATACGTGTCTAGCGGTTGCTTTATTGGGCAACACAGGTCTAGACCAGTGGTTCTCAGCAAGGGACAGTTTTGCCCCACAGGAGACATTTGTCAATGTCTGGAGGCATTTTTGGTTATCACAATTGAATAAGGGTATGTTAGGGGCATCCAGTGGGCAGAAGCCAGAGATAGTGCTAAACATCCTATAACGTAAGGATAGCCCCTCACAGCAACGAATTATCTGACCCAAATTTGTCAATAGTACCAAAGTTGAGAAATCCTGGTCTAGACCACCTGGATCCTTTGACAAGGGTAGAACCTCAATTGCACACCAGAAACTGGGACTGGCCAGAGGTCCTGGACTGTTCCCAGGAGGACAGATGGACCCATAAGACTTCAGGAAACCCCAAGTCAGTCCCCATCAGTTCAAAAGACATTTATTAAACCGCTATATGCTAAGCCTCGTGCCAGTGCCACAACAGGACAGAGCTGGGTCCCCTTCTTCAGTGAGGGGCTGTCTGTCCTTCCCTGCATCAAGGATCCAGGCAGAGGAGTGGGGTTGATGCAGGGAGTATTAAAGGTCTTTGCAGCAATTCTTCAGCCCATCTGTGTCTCTGGCCCCACATGGTATCAGCTGCCTCCTTCATCCTCATAGGCGATGGCAATCCCTCGTCTTCCACTCACAGCTCCTGTCGCCGGTGTCTGACCCAGACGGGGTTGCAGCCCCTGCCAGCTCCGGGAACTAAGGAATGAAGCTGCAGAGAGAGGGGACTGAGGCCAAGTGGGCTGAATTTGGGGAAAGAGTTCAGCTGGGAGCAGAGACTTGGCACACTTACCTGCAGGGCTGCTCTCAGCCAGCTCCAGCTGGGGCCGCAAGGTCAGGGCCAAGCATCCAGGATCATTTGATGGCTTCCAGGCAGGTGGGGGTCGGAGTTCCCCAGTAATGAGTGACACATCTGGGGTGTCCCACAGTTCTGAGTCAGGTGGTGGGAGGGGCACGTGGAAGGGAGAGCCTGGAGGGAGAAAGAGGATCCATACCGGCCCAATTCCATGCCCCAAGTGGTTCCAGCTCAGGCAGTACCCCACCACTCACCAGGCAATAAATCCGCGTAATGTGTGAGGTAGGGAGCCAAGCCTGAAGGTGGCCAGGCAGGGTTGCAGGCAGCCTCCAGCTCACATGGTGCCAATACAGGCCGGAAGAAGCCACCAGAAGGCTGTGGAGCTAGAGCACCAAGAGGGCAGGCCAATAGCACAAAGACATCCATTTCAGGAAAGTTGGCAAGCTTGGGAGGTGTGGGCCGCCCCAGGGCCAACACATAGCTACGCTTGCCTGCAGCCTGAGCCAGGTTCCGCAAGTGTGACAATGCTTCACGGTGTCGGGCTACACCCAAAGTACCTGCCAACAGCCCCACCACCCGGGCATCTCTGGCCCTCTCTACCAGGTAGTGTCTACGTGCCCTTAGCCGTCCAGCCCGGACACCTTCATCCTGAGTCTGCCCTGTGTCCGGGCAGCAGGTGAAGAACGGCTGCCCTGGTGCCCAGCCCAAGAGCAACCGGCTCAGGTCTGGGTCAAGGTCAAGGTCAGTGCTGGCTTCAGAGCCCCCCACATAAAAGGCACCATATTCTTCCAGACACCTCCCGGGAGCCAGGGGAAAGCGACGCCCAAAACGCTCCAGGGGCTCAGGTTCTGGACTGCAGGAACCCACTGGCAAGGGAAGAGCTGGGCTGGAGACAAGCAGGTCCAGGTACCGTGGGCGCAGGAGAGTGGCCAAGGCCTCTGGAAGAAAGGGGTGGTGTCAGGAACCCCTTCATCCCCAAAAGGCTGAATGTGACCCAAAAGCAAAGAATGGGATCAAGCCCATATCGAGAGCTCTACAGGAATGTACTGAAATGGGGCTATCAAGGCACTAAGCAGTTGGTCCACCCTTCCTGCATGCACAGGCAAAAACGCTCACCCAGGGCATGGGCACAGGCTGGCTCACTTAGCAGCACCACAGGCGCTTTGGGGTCTGGGTTCTGGGCCTCAAAGGCCTTGGCGCAGAGCTCCAAGTGCACAGAACGTTGACCAAGGACGAAGGCCACAGGCAGTGGGCGAGCTGGAGGGCTTAAGCAGGCAGGGCCAAAATGTACAAGGGCCTGAGCTCCAGCTTGCTCAGCACCCAGTACATCCACACAGCAGCTGCAGGAAAGATACCATTAGTGAGAAGAGTTCTCATCAGGAAAAGCTGTCTTTCATGGGAAATGTGGTCATTGAAGAAAATAATGTTATGAAAAGAAGACACTGTCATTGAGGGGAGGAAGTATCAGGAGAGGAGGAATCATCATCAAGGGAAAACACAGCCGCTGGGGGCAGACACTGTCCTAGGGGGAAAACACCATGAGCCCTGCATCAGTAGACCTACACCACCCTCAATCTTCAAGCTCAAATTCACACCTGCCGTAAGCTGTGTCGCCCAGAATGAACATCTTCGACCCTGTGGTCTCCTCCAGTCGTGCAGCCACGGGCCCAGCATCTCCCAATAGCTGGTCAGGGAACTGCAAGGCCACCTGTAAGCATAAGCCATGGAGTCATGAACAACCTCTCCTCCACCGAGAGCCTCTTAAGGAAAACCTTCCAAGAGTCCCTACCTGACCTTCAAAGCCCCTCCTCCCAGAGGAGCAACTCCTCCCGCACCTCCATCCTCACAAAATTACACCAAGATCCCGATCTTCTGGGCGACCCATCCAGAGGTGAGCCACCCCTCCCCTATCTGCCCTCACCCGCTG